ACAACTGGCAGAAGAACAAGGCTTTTCGTTTTACATACATTCACACACACACACACACACACACACACACACACACACACACATATATCGGTCACGTCGCACTCGGCTGCGAATCTTTCTACGGAGCATTGTAGATCAGTTTCTAAAGATGCTAATAAAACAAGGTCGTCTGCAAACAGCAATCTAATGGTTCAGTCAGCTCCTACGTTACTACACTCATCGCCTTTGCTGCTCCTGGCGATTGTGTCCACCAGGAAAACTTTTTCTGACATCCAGGTGGCAGGTGAACGGTTTTGATTCTTCAGAATTCAGTGGCAACTACGAGTACGCAGCTTCTGAAGAGCTCTCATTCCGTTTCCACATCAACGATCATCACTGGGATCTGTTGAAACCGTGGTGAGATGCTGTGTGCAAGTTTCGCTCCTGTTCCGCGGAGGATAGTGTGTCCTATTTGATTTTCTGGTTGATTCTTCCACCAGATATTCGTGTGGTGCTCCATTTCTTTCGTAGTGCGCCAGTGATAACTCAGAAATACCAGCAAAATGTTTTACGCAAGGATGTCCGTTCGTTATTAACTTATGAATCTTGTACAATAGCTCGATAATTGACGTTTCGTTCATAGTTTTCGATATTAAGATTTCCATTTGTCTCACCAAAATTTCATCGCAAAGTATGAAAAAACAAATTTTTTACACTGTATTTTTTCGCCATTAAAATCCACTATCCTAAATTTTCAATACATATATTCACGGCGGTGTCGAAAGTTCCCACGCGTAAAATCTGCCTCAAAACATCTGGATAATATGGTGTTCGACAGTAAGAATAATGCTACCGGATTGAAACAGAAAAAATGTACAGTGTGAAGAACAAAATTGTATTTTTTTTACTTTACACCGACTTTGCGACAGTGTAAGATAGATAAAAGTTTTATCGGAATATTGCACCGTTCCCTGGTTTCTAGTCTAGCAGATGCTGCTTTTCTTTATACAACACATTTTGCCTTTGAAGTTCCTTAGCTGCATTCATATGTAATGTTATACGGGCCAGAGGTACCAAAGACATCCACATGTAGACATTTTCCTGGAACATTGGAGTTATGTAGTTTATGTCATTAATTGTATCCGTCTAGGGCT